TTTCATGAAAAACAATACACCGCATTTTAAACTCACAAGCTAATCAACACCTTTGTGTTTGCAATTCATACGTTTTATTACTTAAGTACGCGCGTCATAACAATTGTTTCAATCGAATGCGATTAGGTTAAGGTTTTTTTCCCTTTTTTCCATTTTGTACGCATGGAGGGAGTTTTAATTGCTTGAAGGTCAACATGTGAAATTGAGATGGATTAAAAGGGCAAACACACTTACAAATTTTATCGTAAAACAATAAGGAAGTAAGAAAATACTTTTTTTTGCACATTTCCGTTAGACATTTGGAAAATGCGATTGAATACAAACGGAACCATTTTTCTAGGTCACATTTTCGCCGCAATAAAGTAAACAGTTCTTTTTCTTAAATTCTGTCGGAATGACTGATTTTCACTTGGCACATGCACAAGTGCCATGAATTTGCAAAAAAACACACAAACACATACATATCAATTCGATGCGATTTTAATTGTGGCGCGGAAAAAGTCGACAACTAAAAAAAATGACATGCAAATTCGATGCCATATCGTCTATGTTGCCAAATATTCTATCGCGAAAATTTTAAGAAAAAAAAAACGGGACGAAGCATAGCACTTGTTTAAACGTTGTGTGCGGGAGAATCGACAACAAGAAAAATGGTTTGCAACGACGATTTCGAACAATTTGAATAATGAGTTAATGGATATTCAAATTTATCCAATAAATACATCAAGCAGTACACATCATTACCCGCTGTTTTGCACCATATCATGAACGAAGGGATGTGAAAAATGTGTGTGTGTGTGTTTGGGTATACATATGTGTATCATCATCTGGTTTTCGGCATGCAATTTGGCCCCCCATTCGTCATTACACCAAAAACACATGCAGTTGATGTTGAACACATGAATAAGTTAAAATAGAGCTCATATTGGTACGTTCTATTCGGATTTTCTTCCGAAAAATTTCAAGAATTGGAAATAAACATACTCCCAATATAAGTTAAACAGAGTTGATGAAATGCAGATACATTCGAATTTGCATGCGTAAATTTGATTTGAATGACAAGCATTTCAAGAGACGAGAAAAGGAATGTGTACTGCAGCCACTGTATTCATTTCGATTTTATGGATACAGTGAGCCCCATTAACAAATTACCGCAGAATGAAAAAAACGACGAATGGAAAAATGTTGCGGAAAATATAAGAAGAAACTCACATGAAAAGTTTTTCTCTATCCATTTTTCGTTCTATCTCCTTTTCTCTTTCATACAAAAAAAAAATATGGTTCGCGGCCACAAATTCAGTATGGACGAAAAGAAAAAACTATATACGAAAGACAACATAAAAAAGTGGAAATAAATTAAGTATTATAGTGCAATAAAGTGTCCGATTTCATTTCATTATATCAAGAATACAGAGAAAAAAAACGCTAGCTAAATGTAGCAATGACAACAACCGATCTGAATAAGAAACGGTCCCTTTGAAAATTGGAAATTAAATTTTGTTTAGTGTAAACATTTGTAATTGATACAAAGAAAAATGTGCGTTCGTATCTGCTAATTGGCGGTGTGGGTATGTTGAAATCTTGAAACTCATTTACAAAATCGAACATGTAACTTTGTATTGAAAATGCAAGGTTTTTGGAGAAACAGTGTTCTAATCAAAATAATTACAAGAATAGTTTATTTTTGCTTTAAAAAACAAACAAAATAAAATTATGATTTGACAGCATCAATCATAGTCTTAATAACGATTGAACCGAGCATCTCCAGTGCAATGAATCCGTTTGTCTCATAAACTCACATATCAAGCGGTAAAAATATGTGTATATCGCTTTTGATGATGTGCGCAAGCGTATTTTCCGAATGAAAAGAAAAAAACGTTTTCCTCTCGACGGTTGAATTGTGTGGACTAACAATGTATGTTGTTTTTTTCCTGAATATATGAAAGTTTATTTTGTGTGGATTTGTCAGAGTACATAAAATCTATCTCTTTTTTTTCTCACTTATGGAAAGGGTTGAGTTTTCATACGTCGAACAGTTTTCGTTTTTTGTGGTTTCTTTGACCCCACAACAAATGCATTTCCATACAAAGAATTGTTGGCGCTTTATTTTAAATTGCTTCATTTCCATTTGATTTTGGTTTCGATGAACATTTTGCTCCACTTTTCGTTTGCAGTTAATGTTATAGCGGTTTTAATCGCATCATATTCCGAACTTAAGTTGACAGATTCGTCTTAAGTTTAGATCTTTGAAGGCGCATTCAGTTCAGAATTGAATGAATAATAAATATGGGGAAAGCATGTGTGACCTTTCTTTGAAAATTTGTTTATAAAGTACGTGCCCAAAACGTTTTTTTTTATCGTCAAGGAAACAAAGTTGTGCGAAGAAAAAGAACACGCACACACTTTTAGCGTATAAAAACGAGTTTTTCTCGAGAGCTTTAAAATCATCATATTTCTCCATCTGGAGTTGAAGTGAAGAAAATAAAATGTTGTATGTGCGGTTTGGATGATGTGGTACCGAAAATTTATTCACTAACTACCAAAACCATCATCATCATCATCGTCGTCATTAAAAAGCATCACCAGAGAGCCAAATGAAGAGAGAGAGAAAAAAAAAATAGACCGAAATACGAACGAAAGAAAGGCGAAAAAAGCTTAAGTAGAAACGGTCGAACTAACAATAATAACGCATAAAACAGTGGAAAATCCGAATGAGCTAAGAAACTCACTTACATGCGCACGATATTCAATTTTACATTCGTATGGTGTTTTCTTGTTCTTATATTCTTCGAGTTGTTTTCTTTTCTTCACTACATTGTTGTTGCGATTATTTGTAATTGTTGTTTTTTTGTCGAAAGAAATGAAAGAGAGAGATGAAAAAAAGAATGAGCCCGTCGGTGTGTGTATATGAAAGTGGTGAAAATTCGCCCGAATGAGTAACAAACGAACCGAATCAGAAAGAGAGAGAAAGAAAGAAAGAACACACATAGCTTGGTCATAAATGCAAGTCGTGTGTGTATATATTATATACACAAATAGTATTTTTCTTTAACCAAAAGTTGCTTTCTCGCTCTCTCCCTCCTGTCGGCACATACTCCCGGTTCTCCGTTACTTCGTCGTCGAGCATCACGAGCGAACTAACAATATCAGCAACAACAGAAACAACCGTGTGCGGTACCGGCTCGTTATCGGTTCAAGTTGTAGTATCGGCTCACATCTTACGATCCAACTCGATTTATACGTTCGCTTAGAATGCGACGAGCAAGAGAGAGAATAGGAGCCCAAATAAGAGGCTATGACGCGTGCGATTCGATATGAAAGGAGACATGTGAACCAAATATATAAACACATGGAGAAAGAAAGTAAAGTGGAAGAAGGCACATATACACAAATCTCTTTTTCTCGCGCGCGCCCAACCAAGCCATACACGCTCATCTATGGAATAGAATTCATTGCACTCTAGCTCTCTCTCTAGCACACACCGAACGAGTACAGTACCCACATTCATACGAACAATATGAACATGAGCACACACCATAAATACATATATCTCTCTGGTCTCTCTCTCTCTCTCTATCTGGTTACCGTACGAGAGCAATACCGAACATGTTATAAAATACGGAGTGCGCGTTAGATATATCATTGCATTTTTCCTTCACATGTAATGCCGTTGTGAATATCGTGTCATCTCTTTTAGACGCTCTCGCCTCTTTCATATCATTCCGTTCGATTCGCTTCGATTTGATTCGTGTGTGCAATGAGAGAGACATGATGAAAAACACATTCAGTACATGAAAAGAGATCGAGTGTAGATTAGGGTGGAGCGGTGAAATTCACCGCTTTTTTCGTTGTCTATCGATTTTGAAACCGAATGAATTGATGAAATGTGTGACATTTGTTTTATACTTTTCCAAAATAGAATGCACAAAATCTATTTAAATGAACGTTGATTAAATATTTGTATTTCTGCTACATTTATCCGCATCTAATTCGAAATTTTCGAATCAATTGGAATTTAAATTTTCTAATTTGAATTTTTGGCAAATAACATTTTCGATAGTTTTTACTTTGAGTAATAAGCATCAGTTACCAGATTAAGAATTTCATGAAATGCATTAGCATCGAAGTATTCTTTGGATCAACAAAGTGCGAATGCAAAATTTCACCATCAACCGATAACTGTTGCCGTTGTTAATTTGTGCATTACGCGGCACCGCATATGAAAATCCAAATCGTAACGCGTCTCACATAAGAGATTCGAATGATGTACGGCAACGAGTTTTATCGACGACGAAAAATGTTCAATGTGGGAAAATGAGCGTGCACTCCACCCTAGCGTAGGTACATACGAGTACACTCAATTCGTGTTTATGCGCGCACATTCATCCACCGTTCACATGTAGTATATGGAGTTGAGCTGAGTTGAAGGCACCACATATCTTTTTTTTCCCTTCTATATATGTATACATATATAAACAACGTACATATATATACGACATACAACACATAAACATTTAAACATATCTGTTTGAGCAATTTTGTTGCTTGCTTTTATTTTTCGTTTTGTCGTTGTTTTTCATCTCTCTCCGATTGCCGTCGTTGTTTTCGTCGTCGTCGTCATTGCTGTTCGTTGAGTCGGTTGGATGGCACATCATTCTATATGGAGAGAATTTTCACCAAACAAAATATTTACCGTACATATCGCGCGTGTATGAGAACGAATGAGAAGCACACACAAGAGAAAAAAAAACATATAATGTGTAGCATTTTAAGCACTTACTATTCGTAAGATATACACAATCAGTCGGTCGAAGTCAGTCACGGCGCTAACCTTAAAATGTTCGGTTCAGTATAGTTACTCGTTTTTTTGTTTGGTTCGCTCTGTCGTTATTTTATTTTTATTCCTGATTTCCTATTGAACATAAAAAAAATAACACAAATTTTGCAAAACAAGGAGAAGAAACGATTTTTAAATAAAAAATTGAGTAAAAAGCGGGTAAAAAAGGGAAATACATTTTCGGCAAAACAAAACAATTTTTCTGGTGTGCAAATCATCGAAAGATCCGTTAAGATCATTTAAAAAGTGCAAAAAAAATTGTGCTCGGAAATTTCAATACGATAGAAAAAACGCCAAATTATTATGTGAGATGCTCATTTTTTGCTATGACAAAATAAATATGTGACGAAAAATCGAATGATAAGAAAGTGTGAAAGGGATATCGAAAACGAAAAAATTGTGGTAGCCGGATTTTCTGGAAATTAAACTCATTTGCGGATGAATTTAAAGTGAAATGTTTACTATTGTTGGATTGATCGATTTTTTTGCGGATCATAAACATATGGCTCCCGAATTAAGATAAACCCGTGATTGAATATCTAAAATTGAGTAAAGGAAATTGGAGAAATTAGAGAGAGAAAAAAATGATCGCCGTTGTGACAAAAACATTCACCGAAACGATTGTGTGAAAATTCTTGTTTTCTTATTCGATTTTTTTTTTCTCATTTGAATTGTGAACACGGAAATTACATCTTAGAGACTGTGATGAATGTTACCGACGTGATGAACAGCGAGCAAATCCGATTTGCAATAGATATTTTGGACACATTAAACATCACTAATTGACTACCAAATCGAAAAAAGTGACCGCGAAAATAAGAGATATTTATTGTACCGAATACACTTTGTGATCTTGAAAAAAAAAATTATACATATATACAACAAACACACATACATCTATGTGTAGTTTTAAATGATTTTTATCAGTTATATGTGATTTACTGTCAATGAAAAAGCTGTGCAATTTCCAAAACATTCCGAATTCTTTCTCTATAAACACTGAACATTTTCTTTGGATACATACAATATGAAAAGGTATGTTTTTTTTAAATTGTGGATGTTTAAATGAATTTGTGTGTGAGTGTATTTGATGAAACCATTGGTTGTTGAAAAATATGAATGTTTGTCTTTAATTTATATGAATGAGGCAGATTGCAAACACAAAAAATGCATAACTTTTTTTTTATTACTTAAGTATTACCGTCGATTTCTCAATATTCTTCACCCGAACGATTCCCGTCGATCACCAAAAAATTTCTTGAGATATCTTCAATTGACAAGTGTCCTGGCATCGATGTCATTTTAGAAAAGAAACAATTCTGAGTTGAAAAGTATAGTGTCGACCAATAGAGATTCGGTTATTTGTGTAGCAAAAACCAATCTAAGATAAAAAAAAGTTAAGAATAAAATGATTTCACTCGATTAAATTTATTTTCTTTAAACAATTTCTGATTTTCTAATATTAGCTTATAAATTAATTTTAATCCGATTAATAAAACGTGATCATTGTTTATTGTTTAAGTCAACAATTTTCGATATTATTTCGTGATTATGATTTCATTGATTTCTTAATGGTATTTTTTCTTCATTTCTTTCAAAATTTGATTCAATAATAAAAACTATTTGTGTAAAAAAAGTCTGTGCCTTCAATATTTCGCATTCTGTTTTAAATCTATTTGGTTAATTCTTTGTTTAATAATAAAATGGTACAAAGAGTGACAAAAATCAATGTTCCGATGGACACGTATGTACTATTGGTTTGTTGTTGATGCTGTGGAAAAGAGTCGATTGTACGAAATGCCAAAAATTGGCTGATTTGTCGAATGTAATGCAAACAAGATATTGTGCCCAATCTAATGTCAGTCATGATTGATTTCGATTAGGCCAATCGATTGAATCCATTGATGAAAACGACTACGGTAACGACGAAACGAAAAACTTTTTATGTACCACTGTGAATCGGGTCAACTTTCAAAGAGCGTCAGATCGGATCGGCACGATTTCGAAGCACAAAACCCATTTTGCATTATTTTTTTTTTCTTTGGTTTTTTTTTTGCATCTCTTTGCCAATTTTCATTCATGAGAATAAAAGTAATAAATTATTTCGCTAATTATTTCATCATCTTCAGAGCAGAGAGTTTAGTTCTGTGTGTCCAAAAGGGAGAAAAACAAAAACAAAAATGAGTCGTCAGTATCTATGCGCAATCCACAGAAAAACAAATTGTATTCCATGTATCTCCTTGTTCGTGTTTGAGCATCATTTGGCGGCCGGTGAAACGGCCGATGGTAAAAATTTCCAGAAATCGTTTTCCTCTTCTGGTTTACTCTATCAAACTCACTAAACGATACATAAATTTAAATAATAACAGAAAATTTACGAATCATGATTGATTAACGATAACATTACATTTTGGCTTATTATCGTCGGTTGTTTGTATTCGATGATCGTGTCGTGGTGAAATATGAAAGCAACAAGCCAGAGCCAAGGCAGACAAGAACGTGATATCTGTTTTTACAACAAACAAACATCTCAATAATAACACCGTTTAATTGCATACTTGTTCATAGTTTTTTTTTTTTTCGTTATTGTTTATTGAAGACAAAATATGAACCAGGAATTACGACAAGACAACGAAGAGCAACAACTTCAATGTTTTGATATCCTTTTGCTTTGGTATTGTCCTTTGTCTTCAATATTTTAATTTTTTTTTGTCATGTGTAAAAATGGACATAGATTTTCGTTTTCAGTTTTGATAAATGTTTACTTGCGGTAAATCGTATGTAAAACTTGCAATGATCATACATCTTTTTTTTACAAAATACTTAACTGAAATGTACTTTTTCTTCGAAAGTTTGGTATTTTGTGTGATTGGCAAATTGTTAACTTTAACACAAGCGAACAAGTCTGCATAAGTATGTTTAATATAGATATGATTGTTTGTGTGTAGTTGGGGAAATATATTCTTTTCAGTTATTTTCCAAAAAGCGAGAAAGAAAGCGCTTCGTTACAGTTGAATGAAGATTTCAGTGCGAGACTTTATTCAATATGATGAATGTGCGGGAGCGTCTGTTTACCAAAGTTATTCTTTCTTTTTCTCTTTCGTTCTCTATTTAGTTTCTTTTCAAACGCCGTATTTTTACATCGCTCTTAAAAGTATAAAAATGATTTATTTTTATAGTTGGAAAATATCTTATTGTTTCACTAAACGATATTGGCCAAAATAAATGTTCGGAGTTGTTCCTTTGAATTCAAGTTTTCCGGCTTTGAGTTCGGACTATTTTGCTCTCCAGATTTTCCAACAAGAAAAATCTTCCATTAAAGATGTCACCTTCTGAATTTAAAGACGCCGAAATACATGCAATTTTGAATCATTCTTTTTCCAGCAATTACTTTTTCTGTCGCATTCATGGATGGTGCTCTGTCCGAAAACAAAAAAAACATTCCGTTAGTTTTGTTTGTATACGAAAATACGTTAGCGGTGTATCGTGTGTCAAATTATATTTTAATTAGCTACCGAGAAGAGAGAAGAAAAAAACTGTTTAAATTATGTGGATTCTGTATATATTCTAATACTATTTTGTTTCGTGCCCATTTTATTATTGTCAAATCGAAAGAAGCGAATCGTCCAGCCTTGTAAATAATGTTTGGCCGTTTTTAGCCTCGTCAATAAGCTTAAACGAAAAACCGAAAAGAAAACAGTAACACATTCATTTGCACATAATTCTTTTCAACGCCATTATTATTATTATATCCAGCAATCGTTACGAATTTCCATAAAAAATTGTTTGATTTAGTTTTGTATGTATATGGCGTGTATTCAGGTGTTGCCAAAATAAAATAAAATAGACGAGAAGAACAATAACAACAACAACAACAATAAATGCTGAAAAAAATCATTTAGCCTGAAAAATAAAATGACCGGCACTCGATAGCTGGTAATGAGTGTTAAGTTTGAAATACGACGAATTTCCAAATCGCAATAAAGACCAACAAAAAAAAGTATACAAGCAAAACAATACATATATTTGTGAATGGTGTTTTTTTTATTCACACGCACATAACAAAATATGGTCGACATCGACACCATCGAATGATTGCCGTTAAGAAAGTGCCCATTTCGCATTTGTACGAACGAAATTAATTTCATTGGATAATTCTATTGTCACACCTCATAGTAACGATACTACGGTCTCTTTTCCTCCTCTTTATCTTTCTCTCTCTCTCTCTCTTCACACATATTGACGGTCGTCACATACATCCAACCGAATAACAATATGCAATTTGTAGAAACATTTGTAAAAATTGGACCGTGAATCGTTATTAGAATCTTCACTAAAACATTGTGTTTTTTTTTAATTACACCCAATCGCTTGACCATTCTCCCTAACTCTATCTTGAGCATACATTAGTTCACATCCAAATTGATACGTTCGAGACAATGTATTGGCAAGCGAAAAAGTGATTACTGTTATAATCATTTGCTGTGTGCAAACAACTTATTCTAATTTAACAGCACACACTGCCGTCGCTGCCGTCATCGTCGTCGTAAAACATCATCGATTCAGTGAATTTCAATTGCGCTCTCTTTTTTTCTCTCAATTTTTGTATGATTGTTGGCGCTGTGATGTCTTCGACTTTTGATTCTGACGAAACACGATTGAAGACGAACGCAAAACAGATATACAAACAATAAATTCAGACTTTGCGCTCAAAACTTAACCACATTTCGTGACTATTGTTTGTTGTATCGAAAATTGAATTTGCCAAAATGAAAAATGTGACATTCACAATTCACATCAATATCCTACCATCTACATTCAGATATACACGCTCCTTTTTTTTTTCTTTTTGCATCATGGAAATGCTGAAAAATTGCAATTGGGAGAGAAAGAGAAAGACATTTTCCAAGTATAATTCCATTAAAAATACATAAACACATAGTACATTTATTTATTCGTCGACCAATCTCTGAGGACCCAGAATCTGACTTAAATTATTTCTTTGTGCATTTCTTCATTTTCAGTCTCAATGACCACTCAAAATGGAATCGAATTTCATATGATAAAATAAAGAATAAAATACATACTTCATATGTTGAAAGTCGTAAAAGTAACCGATTTATTGACCAAATAATTTTATGGGTCCAGACGTATAAGAAAACTCAAAATTCAATAGAACTAAATGCTGGAAACTTATTTTGTTGTAAAAAGAAGCGGCCTGGACCTGTTGTGTGTATGTGTCTTAAATGTTTCAAAATTAACAATTATTTTACAATATTTTGTCAAGTGTATTCATATGGTTTTCAAGTTTTGTGTATCATCGAAATTTGTACACACACATAGAGGACTTCATAGCTCAGAAGTCGTTTGGTTGTGCGTCGATGTGTTTGTACATCGAAACGTCTTATGATGATATGTCTTATATAGTACGTGCCCAGTGCCACACACGTCTCACTCTGACCAATGTTGAAAAGCCCTTTGGAGCCCGTTCCCAAAACACATTCACATCATCACCCTTTTCGGTCACACGCATACATACACTTTATGTTTGAGCGCGCTACACATTTATCTAGAGTTATACGCCAATCTTTTGCCATTTGATTGCTGCTTAAACGGTTGTTTATTTTCTTTGTATATATATCACACACCCGTAGGAAACGCTTGGGATATGTTGTGTGATGTGTTTGTAGTATTTCGGTCGTTAGAAGAACAAATGATCTTTCGGCTTGATTTTTTCGACATGTAAGCAAATTTGATCCGTCGCATGCATTCAGTTGTGTTTCGATGACCACACGTTAGTGCACTCCATTGACTTGAATTTTTCTTTTTCAATTAGGTGACTCACATATAAGTAAGTGCAATTTTCTTTCTTTTTTGTTTGTTTCGTGGAACCTCAGTTTTCATTATCTTAATTTTCACGCTTTTGTCGATTTTCTTGTACAAAAAAAATAATTTGAAAAAAAAAAATAACTGTGAAAATCGAGCAATTTTATGTCATAGTGCTTTAGTATTGGCGCATCAATTTTAACCACCAATACCCAATTAAGAGATGCATTTGCTTCCGTTGTGAATGAAATCGGTGGCGGTTGAAAAGAAAATAACTTTTTATAAAGAAAATCCAATATAATCGTTATCATTTTGATTTGCAATCGGTTCGGCACAGTTTCTATGAAATCGGCGCAAATATTCGTGGTTCGTTCGATACATTTCTCTTTCGTTCATTTGGTTGTAACGGTCGTGTGTCTGTGTGATGTGATTTCAATTTCGGTTTCACGAAACGACGCACTTTTGTAAGTTATTACTAGCTTTACTCAATCCAGCCACATTGTATACACACTCGTACACAACGCACAAGCTAAACTGATTTTTCGACATATACCGTTGCGGTTTGTGCATACTACAAACATTATTTCTCTTTTCAATGCATCATGCTCATTCTTCACTCATTCCCGTTGTAATGTTACATCCGAAAACCGTTTGCCAGCATCGACAGCAGCAACAACAATAAACACTCAAATTGGTTTGCATCTCATTCGAATGTGAAGTGACAAAGAATAGCCACAAAGAAAAAGAACAGTCAGAGAGACACACCAACGAAATATGTGTTCAAATGTTGTCAATTTACTTTCAGTTGTGCATTTTTGTTTATGTGTTTGGTATGTGTTTTGATGTGTTTTCCATTCATTTTCGGTGTTGGTGGGCGTTATGAAGATTCGGTCGATGGTTTTTTTTTTGTTGTAAACTCTTGGTTCAATTCATTTTCGTGTGATCCTGTTGTATTTTCTAGTTGTTATTGTTTTCTTGTCACTTGTAACGAATTTTTTTTTCGGTTATTGCTGTTTACAAAACAAAATCAACCGAATGCGAAAATCGTCAGCAAAAAAAAAATGCTTGCAACATAAAAATAATGATGCATATTCACATACGAACAGAGCAGCACGACAATGAATAAAAAAAGAGTCAAATCAAAAGGGTTTAATTTGGTGAAGGCGACGGTAAACGGAACATTTGGTTGTGGTTTTTTTTTCTTCTGCTGTGTGTGCGATTTACGTATGCTTTGTCGCAAACATTTCTTGCTCTCATTTTTTTTACTCTTCCTAAGACAATTGTACGGTGCTAGGCCATTGAATGTTTGATGTGTATTGGTGTGTGCTTACGTGGTATATTGTATGTATGTGCATTGTCAATTTCAGTGTTTTTTTTTTGTCAAATACAAAAGAACCATATTCCACATACAAAATCAAAACAAATTTGAATGAAGAAAAACAACAACAAGGAAGATACATTCTCAGCATATTCATACATTGTTATTTTTGATTGTTTCGTTGCAGATATCTAAATTACCGCAAGCGATAAACATTTAAAAATCATTTGTACGCCAGTTTAACCACCAACACATAAAATATAAACGAGTGAAGCGAACGAGAGAAGAACAAATAAGCACACATATTCGAAAGTGTGTATGGTGTCATCCGTGCATTTGTTGATAAAAAAAGCCAACGAGCATAAACAACAACAGCAACAACAATCGTATCGTATAATAAAGCCGGCAAAAGTCAAATGTAAATGTCGATGCATCTTTGATGAAAAAAGAGGGAGAACGAGAGATTTTGGAGTTGAAACTAAGAGAAAGGAAACGGGAATAAATTGTGTGTGAAAAGCGAAGGTATTTTTTACAATAACAAACAAAACCATTCAAAAAATTAATGCAAATAAAGTGTTTTGCGAGTGCGTGAAACAACACAGTCGATGTAAAATAGTGTACAAAAAAGTGCAAGCGAACACAAAAAAAAACACAATCGAATGATAAATTGTAGTGAAGACGAAAAAAAAACAGTGTGCTATTGTAGAAAAGGACAAAACAATTAAGAAGTCAAGCTAGAACCTTGAAAAATAGCGGGAAAAAGAATTGAACGGCACAAATTATCACAAAGACGAAACGAAATCAAAAACAGTGTAAAAAATAGAAAGAGAGAAAGAGAAAGAGTAGAGTGGGAAAGTGAAGAGACATTTTAGTGGATGATAGAAGATTACGAATAATGACAGAACAGGAACATTACAGTTTGCGGTGGAATAATCACCAACATCATATATTGCGTGCATTTGATGCTTTGTTACAAACAAAATCATTGGTCGATGTGACATTGGTGTGTGCCGAAACAAGTATATGCGCTCACAAAGTCGTTTTGTCTGCCTGTTCACCATTTTTTCAAAATGTTTTTGCCGAAAATCCGTGCAAGCATCCTGTGATCGTTCTTAAAGATTTTCCCGGTTGGGTGGTTCAGGCCGTTGTTGATTTTATGTATCGCGGTGAAATCAGTGTGCCGCAAAAACGTTTAGAAACATTAATTCAAGTGGGTGAATCGTTGCAAATTCGTGGTCTAGTCGAGCATCGTGTTGCTGCTACAAAAGATTTATCTGGTTCATTGAATGAATCGACCGATGATTATTTGGAACCGCAACTATCAAACGATTCCATTGAACCAAATAATTATGATGATGATGATGCCACACCGACTATGGTAAAATCGGTATCGCTTTCAACAAATGCACAAAATGGTAAAAAGCATCCGCGTCTATTGAATTCGAATTCATTTAATGACATTTCGGCTGCTTCAATTGCAAACACAACAATAACACAAACAAGCCCAACGCTACCGATAAACAACAACAACAACAGTAACAGTAACTGTAGCAGCAACAGTATTAGCAACAATAACAATCATCAAATTCATCATCAGAATCAGGCAAACGAAAACCGTGATATAGCTTGTACATCACCAATGCCACGACGAAAACAGGCACGTCCACGTCGTCGTTCTGGAGAAGGTGGTCCACATGATTATTCAAGTAAATCGACATCACCAGTAGCAATATGCGCTCCCGACGACGATGACGACGACAACAATCCAACTGAAACGGAAACCAACAAAGAACGCATCGAAAATAATAGCAACAGTCACAGCCACATCAACAACATCACCAATACAAACACTATCAGCAGCAGTAGTAGTTGCAATGTCAACGAACAAAGGAAACAATTGGTCAACAAATGCATTGAATCGATGACGGGCACGAATCTAGACACAGACAAAGTGGTCGATTGTACAGTGGCCGCCATTGAGCAATCCATCATTCGCGACAAATTGAATGCGAACGACGACGATATGACGGATAATGAGATGGATGACGATGACGATGAAGGTTAGTCTCAAAAACAATGCACTAATATCGAAAAATTAATTTGAAACGTAGATAAAATAAAGAGAAAACAAAAAATTTATGACAAATTATGGAAAATTAAACGTTAAACGAATAGCATTAGTTAGTTGTAGAACATTTGAAATTTATTTATTTTTGTTATGTGTTGTTTGTTTTACATTTACATAGATAATGATGCGACGGTACATGATATGCGCGTCGTTGATGACATAGAACCAGAGGATGATCTCGATGAAGGTGACGATGAACATGATGAAAAATTATCGTTGGAAGGTCGTAAATTGAGAAAGCGAACACATCAATTCTTTTGCGAAGATGATGGTGATTCGAGTGCGCCCGATGATCATGATGATGATATGGACGATGCCGATGGACCCGAAAATTTATGCATCAAAAACACCAGAGATTCAAATACCGAAGGTGTTAGCAATAACAACAACAACAAGGACAACAACTCTAGTAGTAATAGCAACAGCAATAATAACAATCGAATAGGATTAGGTACGTAATAATATTCTGTTTTTCGTGTGTTTTTTTTGGCCGTTTGTTTTTCTTTCAATTCCTGAATTAACTGAGTCATTTCATTTTGTGTGAATTTATTGTTCTTCGTGCAGCGCTCAAGGATATTCGACATTTGAATCGGCCACCATCGCATTGTCGACAACAATTGTTCCCCGGATTTCCGGTCCATCATCACAATCAGAAAGGTGAACATTTGGCAGCACAGTCGCGACAGGAACAATTGCACAAACATGATCAACAACGTCATTCGCAATTGCAACAGGCGGCTGCGGCGGCGGTTGCAGCCGAAAAAGCCTTTATGGAATCACAATCGGAAAATATGAAACGTGAAGCACTTGAATCACGACTTGAAAATGAAAGTGCATACATGGATCAAATGGATTTAACATTGGTTGCTGCTGCGGCCGCTGCAGCTCATCATCATCATAATGCAGCCAGTATGCATCATCCGAATTCACGGCATCATGAATTGGAAAATAATTTGCATAAAGGTAAGTGCATAAGCGTTTAATTCGATTTAAAAGTGATTCCAAGTTAGTTTAACGATTTTTGAAGCAGACAGTGTTTTTTGTATTTGAGTCGATTTGCTTCCAATTGAAATTGTTTTTATTGTTAAAATTCGTAGAATTTACACCGAGCTCACCGATGAGTCTGCAATCACATTTCAATCCACGTGAGGGTCCACCGCATCCTCCGTCACCATTGCAATTTCCTGGTATGTCATCAGCATTGACATTAACGCCACCGCATCACAGTAAGCCTTTATTTGTTTTGTTGGTTTTTTTATCTCAAAATTGCACAACACATTTTCTGCGAAATTTTTCACATTGAACGGGGCGCGACGTTTGTTTTGCATGTGTTTAAAGGTACATTGTATTTAAGGCATTCCATTCAATTTTCTATGAAATTTCCAAAGCAAAAACTTTACAAATTTGATCACATTTTCTTTTTATTGAGCAAATCTTTTATTTGCCCTATGTGACTTTAAAGCACTTCCTTAACTTCACGATGGAAGAAATTGTGCGCAAAAGAAATTTTTTAAGTTTTTCCACGAAAGTTAAATAGAACTGATAAAAGTCAACAACACGAAAACGCTACGGCAAAAATATATACAAAATCCACGGAGACGAACTTCTGAAGAAAAAAAAAACACACACACACATTACAAATAAGCATATCAGTTGAAGCCACGCTTTTTATGCGGTGGTTATTGATATTTTTGCTTGCATTTTGGCCAAAAATTTACGTAGCAAACGAAACACACTCTCAATGATGTCCACACCGAACCCAGTGTAGAGTAACACATTTGCAATGAAAATTGACTGTATATTATACAAAAATCGAAAGATGGCAACATATTTTATTTGGGTGTAATCTAATTTTCAAAAGAATTTTTTTTGTTCACGAAAACAGACTTTTCGCATAGATGGTGGATTGTGTGTGAATGTTCAATGTAAAAAGTGCTTCGTCAACAGAGCACTGAATTCAGGAAATGAAATAGAATCGTTTAAAAGCGGTATTTAATGGATGATTTAAAATAACCGATTTTATCAAATAAATCACAGTGATTCAAGCGAACGAGAGAGAGAAAGAGCGTAAAAAAGAGAATAAAATCATCCAAAATCATCATTTATTGGCATTTGTATCACACTTACTGTAACTGATTCGCGACGATAATGATATAGGCATTATCGATGGTTATATCCCAAAGGAAGGATAAGCAGCACTTTGACGACTCAACCAATCTCATTTGTATTTGTGTGTTGAACGTTTGGCGCGATCATAATCAAGCTTAATTATTTTAAATTATCATTCACACATAATAATCAATTGTGTTGATCGTGCGATGACATTAGCGCGAAACGCGAATAAAATCTTTCTCATTTTTATACACCCAACGATTGTTAATCAACGAATAATGCACAAAAACAAAACGTATGAAAATCAGCCCTGAATGCATATCGGTGCAGGTTAAAAGGCGCAAAAAAAAAACAATATGATATTATATAAATATGGTGTTATATGCCTATATCACGGTAACAATTTCTTGGTCGTTCGCTCATTCTCTCATTTCATATTGGCACTTACGAATCCCGTACACGATTCCGTCGGCACGGCAATGTAAGGAAAACAATGGTCACTTCCAGCTACACAACGAATTCATAGAGAAGAAGAAAATAAAATAGACGCGCGAAAAAATACTTTTTTTTTTCGACGATAATAAAGATGTGCATCATTTCATTATGAATTCCACAGAATAGTCAGAATTGTGAAAATAGAAACGACGTCGACGGCGACGCAATTTCAATACTCTATAATAAAATACAATTTAAAATTATGTTGTAATTTTTTCCACATAAATATGGAATAAAATATCTCTGTGTTTCGCGCTTTCTCTCTCTCTCTCTCTCCGCCTCTCTTCCAATTTTTATAAATCCCAGATGGAATTTAACGCCCGAGACACACGGCACATCATCATTGCCTGGGTAATGTGTGTACAGTGTTCGTTTTAGTTTAAAACGATATTTATATTATGTTCGCACCCCACGGTCAGAAAAGAATGAATACTAAAAGCGCACACAAGAAAGTAACATTTTGTTTTTTGCTAACGATGTACACGTATTGAAAATGATGAAAGAGACAGAGAGAGAGAGATATTGGTTATCGATAGATAGTTTGGTTGAGCTATTGGCAAGTGATTCACAAGTAATGTTAGTTAAACTGTTTGTGACTGCACATGCCACGCGATTATAGCTAGACTCTTGTTGCGCATTTATTTAATGGTGGTATATCATACATGAAGCGCCAAAGAATATGCGCTAGTGAACATTTTCCATTCAAAATTGAATGTATTCACATTTTTTCTCGACGAATCAATCTTTTTAGCATTCGCCAGCGATTTATGTGTTTGACAAAATTAATGGAAATTTATCATTTAGTTGAAAGTGAATTCCGATTATTTGATCAACACAGCTGACACAGCTTGCATATGATTAATTGAAAACGTCAGCCAGAATTAGCAACAAATAACATTCTGATTAGTTGGCAAGGAAATTGAATAAAGTCACATGATTTTTAACGCGATTTACATTATTTGTTATGAAAAAATACATTATTTATACATCGAAATGAAATAAAATACCCATGAGGGTATTTGAACTGTTTATGGCTGCGTGATATTTAAATGGAAGTTTGATTGTCAATTTTCCTGGCTCCAATGAGCCCCCCAATGGGATTTCAGATTCTTTTCCTGTTGAACAAATAGACGTGAATGAGAGCATTAAAAGACAATTTTGGAATGAAACAAGAGTGTTTTGGCAACATTTATGGAAACATGCTCTGTATGCACTAGATTCGTGGTTGCATTCTTTTCTGTAGTTCTACTGCTCGAATATTATTACCAAGCTATATTCGATTTAAAATCAATTTTGATTGAATTGTCGATATTGTTAATTTAAAAGTCAAAATAATGGTTAATAAAGAAATAAGAGTGTCCAAAATGCGTGCGCATATGAGAAACATTAAATATTCGCGAATCATGTTCGTTTCTATTTTCAAGGGCTAACGCATTTTCATTTTCGGTGAAACTTTCGAACGATATCCCAAAAAAAAATCCATAAACCAGTGTTTCAATGAGACAATGCATATAAATTTGAATGTAAAAATGAAATATCACAAAACATCATTCCGCTCTTTCACATTTGTTATTGATGTACATGAAAAGCCAGGTGAATTTCAGGTCCGTTCATGGCAATTGAATGGTTTGCGCATTTGGTCTACACTCTATATGTGTTTTTTTTTTTGTGTTTTTTTTCGTCGTTCCGATGAAACATTAAAACATGAAAGTGAATAATCACGGTTCAATCTGTTTCTCGTTCGCGCTCGCAAGTGGTCTAATTTACTTCGATCCGCTTTGCCTTTTTCTCTCTGCCATGTTCTATTGTTTCTATAAATGAGAAATAAATAATAATATTGTTATACACAAGAACAAAAAGAAAACACATCAAGATAAATCAATCGAACACTCCATGTATTTCGGACGATTCGATTTCTCTTGCCACTTCGACAAGCATGCACATACGTGTTATTCATTGAACACTGGATGTGTCGGAAATCAATTTAATTCGAAATGATATAGACGATTTTTGTGCTGTGCAACTAACTAACTGGAGCGTTTTGCTCTTTGCACGCTGCTCGGTCGGTCCAATACGGAAAATTAAACAATATTTTTTTTTTCGTGTAATAAAGAAGAGTTTATTTCTCACTTGAATGCATGCATTCACTAGTGCGCCGCCACACTTTTAATGCGCAGATGGATCAAGAGGTGTGTGTGTGTGTGTGTGTGTGTGTGTGTCTGTTCTTTGTTAGCCAACCGAATGAATATGGATCTCTTTTTCTCCGTTGACTTCGGTGTATTTTTGTGTTTTTTTTTTTGCTTGAGGTCGATTTCGATTGCCATCTGCAATACATCAACATGAGCATAGACATCAAGTCTCTCTTTTTCTAACGATCATCCATTCAACCGGTAACCGAATATTTAAACCAACAGAACATTGATTTGTAAATTGGGTCGAATGAGTACTTGTGCAAAATGGAAACAATAACGTCTATCCAACAAAACGCCACCGCAAGCCATCGTATACGATCGACATGACTTCATCGATACATGCATCCAATTCGAAATGAATTCCTTAATTAAATCATGAATAACACACATTCACCACGTATCACATATTCGGTTCATAACATAAACGATGCTTAAACACCGGTTTATTAAACGTGATTTTCCGCTTAACATTCGTAAAAATGGTAGTTAAAAATATAACCATAGAATGAAACATTTTGATTTATCTCACGAAGAAAAGTTTTTTTTTCGATTTAAAATCAGAAATGAACAAAATCAAAGCTAAAATAATGTAATTATGAGTTCAGGATAATTTAACATTTCGAAATAATAAAAATCATTCTATTTTTTTTTGTTTAATTTCAGTGTTTGGTTTAGATTCACCGTTATCACTTTTTCCACCCGGCATGGATCCTGGCAAACTATACAACCCGCTAATGGAAATGCCCGATCCAAGATCGATGCATCCACATCCACATGGTCCATACTTGAAAAAGAAAAACAAGCGTAAGTATCAAAACGGCCGTCATTCGAAACAATTTTTATGGAATTTTTCTGTATTTACGTCATTTCGCAAAAACTTCATTTTAAGCATGAACTTTGTATAAAACTTCCAATGATATACTTCAAATTAATTTTTATACACTCACCATGGACTAATGTGTCGAAGTGATACCGTAATTTGCAATATAGAGTATAAAATTGTCTGAACCAATGCCAATTTTTGTTGAAATTGGAGTGTAGTCGCGATCATTGTTCGTCTTGTGTACATCACGTTGTCCAGTTCAATCGAATACTCAACGGTCGTCAATTATACCGATCTACAGAATCTTGTTGTTCTTATTTCATTTGATCTGTTTGAGAGATCTCAACATTTCCATTGTAGACACATAAAATGTGTGTTTTATTGAATCATGTACGAAATGATAATCGAGCAAAATGCTCGAGAAATTGACATGGTGTTTTGTTGCGTTTGTGAAGCGAATTGGTCGGTGCAATTATTTCAATTACCGGTGATTTTCGATTTTCTTCCACCTTGCACACGAATTGACAGACATACAAACGTAAGAGTGAGAATGGTAGTGACTGTGAGAGAGAAACTTAAAAATTATAGCATATATCGTATCCAAAAGGCAATTCCTTAGAACTATTTTCCGAACGAAAAATGTGCGAGACGAACATTTAAATTGAATACAAAAAAAAAAATAAAGAAACAAATGATGATTTGTATTTTATTTTTCATTTTAAAACCGAGAGAAAAAGTCGTTGTTCGCTCAAAAGTGAGTGAATTGTTCAATGTTTGTTTTTTAATAATATGTGTTCATTTGCAGTGAGCCGACCCAAAGGTCAACATTCAGCGCCACGCGGTGGACCGCCACGTTCATGGACAAATGCTGAATTGACCGAAGCATTGCATCACGTGTGGAATAAGAAAATGACCACGAGCCAAGCATCGCGACTCTTTGGCATACCGTACAATTCATTATTGATGTATGTACGTGGTAAATATGGTAAAAGTTTGAATTTGGAACAATTACGGAAGGGCTGCATCAGTGGTCCACCAATTGAATTGCTGACAATGGGTCTTGGTGCGCACACAAATAACAACGGTGCACCGTCAAAGAGTGGCCTCAGCTCAAGCCGATCTAGTAAAGAGCTTAAAGATTTGGATGAAAATCAAGGTAGTTTAAACGAGTTTTTGCTTTCGTTTTATATACACATTGAGAAAAAAAAGAAGACAAACATATTTATTATTGATTATCGTTCGTATTGTACAGGTGGTCGAGCAAGTGGTTCAAGTTCAATGAAACGTAGCACACCATCCGAACCTGATTTATTACCAAATCCAAATGCCATGTTCAATCCATTTTCGCCTGGATTTTATCCTGACTTTGCGGCCGGCTTTCCAGGATTACCGCTCAGCATGTTGAATTTATTGCCACCAGAACGGCATCCACCTTCGTTACACGGCATGCAAATCGACGAAGATTGTAAAAGTGATCGCTCAAAACAATCGCTAGAAGATGACTATCCCATACCACAACCATTAGCGCTGAATCGAGACGACAGGCGCGAGCTCATACAGCAAAATGGACAAGATTAAAAACACTTGAAATAGTTTTAACAAAAAACTTAGATCGTATTGAAGTGAACAACCACACGTTTAATGTAGTTGAAGAATTTGCGATATGATGCAATGTGCATATAAATCACCATCTTAGACCGATGGCATTTAATTTTTTTTGCATTTGCATTTTATACAATTCATTTTCACTTTTTAAACTTTTCTAAAACGAAAAACAAAAGCGAAACCTTTTGAGCAAAATACACAACCACAATTTTCTTTTTGTAAATTCAAACTAATTTACAATACAAATGTCACCAGATGAACAAATTATAAAAACAAAAAAAAAAACCTAATCACACGATGAACAACCAAACGCTATAATATTTAAGTGAACAAGATAACAACAACAATTTTTTTTTAATTTATAAACAAAGAAAACTAAAAATTAACAAAAAAAAAAAATGAACAAACACAAGAAAAATAAGAATTACTTATAGGCTAATGCATAGTTATATACATACAATTAGTATATGTATTTAGGCAATAAGTAAGAGGTGTGTGGAATTAATTTATCCATATATAGGCAATTCGTAGCTTAAACCAATTTCAAATTTAAAAAAGAAAGGAAAAAAACCGCTCAAGGAACAAACACCGTGTACATTCCAAAAAACAATAATGAAAATGTGTGGAATGTGCTGTTCTTGTTTCGAACTTATGTGAAATGCTGGAGAGGTTTAATAAACATTTGTAACTCAATTAAGGATAAATATATATTTTTTGTTGTGGCTGAGGAAAAGTGGGGTTTACGACGCACAAGTTATACTGATTTGTAAAAAAAACACAACAGTATTTATTCCCCACAAAATATTTTTCACAAAATACACGCAAAATCTTCAAATTAGATTTAATTCGAGTATCAAGTAAAAAAAAAAAACAAATTCGATCGAGACGGACAGATAGACACACGCCGATTTTTCCACATGGGAATACATTCCGTTATAAAAGTTTAATTTCTATAATTTTTTTTCCTTCATCTCTCTATATTTTGTAAATAATATCGTCTAGAGATAGGAATGAACTGCAGTGATCAAAGTTTCCACAATGGAACACAAATACACACGCGTTGCGTGTGTAACATGTACAAAAAAACCCAAAGTCCAACTATGATTTCAACAACAACAAAAAAAGAACGATGACAACCACAAAAATAAAAAAAAAGACAAAATCAGCAAATTATCCTAAAACATTATAACAAAATAATTTGCAACTTGCGAAAATATTGATGTTTATTTGTGCAATTATTTAAAGAAGAAGAAGAAGAAGAAGAAACGCAAAAGTCTTGAATTACGCATAGTATGTGTATGATTGGATGATGAAAAATGGCCGAATTAATGCGGCCCACTTAAAATGAAAACTAATTAAACTGCGATTCGCACAACAAAAAAAGAAACGCAACAATTTAGCAAACTATTTATTTTTAAGGATTCTGTGTGTTATAAAATGAAGAAAAACGGTAGAATTTAACCCCCAGTTCACGCCGCTATCAACCGCTTTCTCTTTTCATTTTGGGACGAACCTTTGAACACGAACATAAGATTAAGTTTCTTTTCTCCCAATGGATGGAAATGACATGAGAAGTGGTCAAATGTGTTTTTATTTCCACATTTTTTTTCGCGTGAAATTAGATGAAAATTGAACCGGATCTTCGAACAGAATAGAACAAAAAAATGGGGGACGTTTTTTAATTTTTAATTTAACCACATCCAAAAACCTGTGTACGGGGCAATATTTATATAATCGACACAATTTTTTTTATATAAAAAAAAAATGAAAATTTAAAAAATGAAACACACACATACACACTTTTCATTTAGTTAATATTTATCTATTTATCAAGAGGAATCCTTGAATAGGTGTGATGTAAATAAGTCGGCAATGAAAAAAACGTTACGTTTTATTTTCTATTTTTACTTTCAAATTTTCTTTATTGCAATCGTTCGGACACTTTTCAATTTGCCGCCGGTTGATTTATTTTAAAATTCGTGAGTCTCTCCCTTTTTTTTATTTAATTAGCTTGAAATTTATGGATATTTGGATATACAAAGCGAGAAAGTCTTGAATATATTATTTATTATTTTCTCATTTTGACAAGAGGGCATTGGATCTTGGGTCAATTTTGAATTCGATCTCATGACTTTTACTTTTTGTTTTAGGAAAATTTGACAGCAAGAAAAATCAACAACAAAAAATTACACAAACTATTATCGCTTCTACAACAAATTCAAATTCAATGCAGAAATTCTGCTACACAGAATCAGATGAACAGAGTTTTATTTTATTTTTCTCGTTAAAATTTCTGATTTTTTTTTTGTTTTGGCAGCGTAATTTCTTCTGTCTCATTCAAATTATTTTTTCCCCGTCCTTTTTGAATTTCTTCTCATCAAGTTGATCGTTATGTTAAGTTCTGTTTTACTTTCACGATTAAGATCGCTTTATTTACATAGTTTTCTTTTATTTACAACGAGTAATTTAATAAAATCAATTTTTTTTCTTCATTTATTTTGTTATACAATCAAATTTTATTTATTTTTATGATCACAGTGTTTCCACGTCAATTGGCAAGCGATGAACAGACAAAATGCGATTTTTATGTCATTCTTTGGAAAAAAAAGTTCCATGACCAAAAAACTGGATAACTTTTGAGTTTCAACTTTTAACACAGTGAAGAAGAAAAAAAACGATAGAAAATTTACATGAAAATAGTTGAATGATAGTAGAAAATCGCATTTCGTCAATTCAAATAAACAAAAATTAATGAACGAATATGGTTTATCCGTATCACTGTGTTGTTTGGGAATCAAACATAAGAATTTTAGTGCTTCCCTCATATTTAATTTTGAACTTTAGTTTTATTTATTTATTTAGCTTAAAAGAAAAGAAAATTCAACAAAAAAGAACAAGACAATGTGTAATCGAAATAAAAATCTACAAATAAAATACAAAATATGTGTTTAAATGAAATGATTCTGTTTTTCCATTCAATGTTTAATGCCTTATTCTCATTTCTTTTATTTGTTATTTGTTTTGTCATGGTTATTATTACGGCGATGATGGTGATGATGATGGGAGAAGAATGCAAATGCACACACACACACATACATACTAAAAGTCATAAGCTCAGTTTTGAACACAAATTCAAAACTTTTTTACAATAAAAAAAAACCAAATACAGGGTATTCGACAACTTAAAATAAAATAAGCAACATGTAACTCTAACACTGATTTTATGTAGCGCATAATCGATCCTATGTCCTTTTAATTGATGAACATTTTTTTCACTCTTTGATCTTGTTTAAGTCGATTAAAAGAGTTTGACATTTAATGTTTTTTGAAAAATATACCTCAAATGGAATACAAGTGTGAGACTGTCTACGAATGAAGCAATGAAAACATTCGAAATTCAAGTAAATCCAATAATTTACATATCAAGTTGTGTTTTTCTCATTTTGGATTTTGCACATCTTGAAGAAGAAAAAGATTTCTAAGTCGTTTCAGTCTCTTCAAGTCATTCCCGTTGTATTGAAAATGATTATGATGTGACAATTTATAAATTACTTGATAATCACAACCATCGATTGACAAAAAAAATGTACAAAAAATATTTACTTCATGTTTCACTCACAGAACTCAAGTGAAGTTTGCCTCTGATTCAAGCGAATGTTCATCAAATTCGAATCAACTCATTCGCAATCACAGCTACATTTATGTTTTCCTCTTGGGAATCTCTTTTCTTCTATTTTGGTTATTCTCATCCTTTTCGATTTCTTCAATTTTTCTATCACCAACAAACAAACATTCTGTTAATTAGTACAATCAAAGTGAAAACATTATTTTTTTTCACTTTCATTGATTTTGATTCCCAACATTTAATATTTTTTTCACATACGATATGCGCTACAATAGAACTATGCAATAATACATTAAAAACGCGATACCAATAGTATAGACTTAACAGAAGTATATTTACTTTAAAATGAAGAAAATGAAAATGGAACAAACACTGACGACAAATTTGCCAATGCTCCAAACTTAATTCATAAGATAATGAATAACAATCGCGAACAAAATACAACACTTGCAATTTACAACCGAAGAAATGTACAGTGCATCTCCTCGATTAAATGGCCGAGTGAAATGATAAAATCACGAACGATGCATTCGTGTGAGAGACAATTTTAATGAATTATTAGAAAATAGCAAATTCTATTCACAACACAAACAAAAGGCACAGGGTAAATATTTTAATAAAATAGTCAAGAAATAAACATGAAAATGGAAAACAATAAAATACTACCGCATAATATTCGAATTAAGAAGTAATTATTACCAGAACAAAAAAAAAACAAACAAACAACCGTACATGTAATCATACACAGTATCTATAAATAATGCAATTTTTTGTCATAAAACCATTTTAAGATAAACACACAACAAACTAAACGAAACAACAATTTCTTTCTCTCAACAGTCTGTAACTATTTCTTATTCATTAAGAATAAAACAAAACGTTATGTTTCACAGTTCACAGATCATTTTCCAAATCGAAAGAGACTTTTATTTGATTTTATTTGGAAAATTTTATACGCCAAAAACTTGTTCTTCTTTTTAATTAACGCTTTTCGAGGAAATTATGTTCAAAATTAAATTAAATTAATGCAAAGAACACTGAATGCACTTCAAATATTCAAAGACAGATACTAATCAAATAGAAAAGAAAACTTTTGCACTCGATCAATTTATACACATATATATTTTTTATTTGATTAATAATAATTGAAATTGCTCAAAATCAAAATTGATGTAGAAAATCATCGAAAATATTGTATTGAAATATAAAAAATTTGAATGAATTTTGAATTGAAAAAACTTGGTTTGTGTTTTTTTTTTCGGTTTTTAGAGATTTTTGTTCATAAAATAATATGAAATGAGGTTAGAACTAGATTGAACTGAACAGGTGAAACTCACTAAATTTACTCAATATATTTGTACAAACATATGTGTTTGTAGATTGGCACGAAATTGGATTTAGAACAAGACGAAGAAAATACACAGCTATGATTTTGATTGTAATTAATTCGCTTGAGAATTTGTGAAATAAATCCTAAAAGTTAAATTCGCATTGAATCTGATTCATTGATCATCCTTTTGCCACGGATATATGTGTGTGATACCATTTAATAAAATGGTAGTAATGGGCAATAGAAATTGCTATTATTTCGGCACTGTCTTGCGAACAAGATTGAGTAAATCAATTAATATTGACTCATTCATAAAAAGTAATCAATCTAAATTAATTAGCGATTAAATGCATAAATCATTTCAGAGAAAACAAAAACTCTATTTAGATCATGATTGTGGAGAATGGACTATTTTTATTTTATACTGTGTAACGTATGTAATTCGGCACCTATTTATTGTTATATTATAAAAATATATTTCAAAAAGGAAAAATTAGAGAATATACGAGAAAAAATATCTGAAAAATAAAAATCAACACGACACCGGTGGTTTTATTCATGCATTCATTCATATTGAATTTTAAACGACCTTTGATTGTTTTGCAAACAGGTAAATAGATTCTATTGGAATATTTGGGAAACTCTGTTTTTACACACAAAAATCTCTGTATGATGGAAACGCTTGTAGCCTATTATTTTGTGTTTTGTATCTAGTGACTGTATTCTTTGTTTCCTTTTCCGTCCCCAAAAGGAGCAAAGTGGTATATAAATCATCATGGCGCATGTCAAAATTAAACTTACTTGAAGCTCTTTTTTGCTTTTGGTTTCAAAATCTATTCGGTCATCCAGAGTAATGAAACGACAACAACAATGACACGCATTT